TAGAAACAAATCGTTGTGTATTTGAATGTGATCTGGAGTAGTTATTTCGACTATTTGGTCTATTGTAGTGATTTTGTGATGAATTATGCGTGTTTCTTCGTTCTGGTGATCTTCCTCTATAACTTGAGTTATATGGTGATTGATTTCTTGTATAATTTGTATTGTTCGGGAGTGGTTTTCCTGAACTGTTGTTGCTGTAGACTGTTTTGTTCGGTAGGTTTTGATCTTTTTTCATGTATTGATAGAATGATTTATTTGGTTCTTTATATTTTTGAGGTTTATTTTGATTGTCTTGCTTTTTTTGTCTACATTCGGAAATACTATGTCCGTATCGTCGGCAATAATTACACCATTTTTTGAAAGATGGTTTGCCTTTAAAGTTTGGGTTCTTTTCGTAAATATTGAGTATTTCAGTGATTTTTTCAACGAGGTCTGTCTCTGATTCCTGTATATTATTAATATTAGTGGGAGTCGTTTCAATTCTGTTAACGTATTGTAATTTCAGATTTTCCGTTTCTTCTAGTTTCATCGTGATTTCTGCTTGTTCTAATTTGTCTACTAGTTTTCGAAAATCTAAATCGGGTTCTCGAATTGAAGAAGGATGGGATGCTCTCTTTTTTATTGCTATTTTCCTTAATTGTGGTGTTAAGGTCATCATTAAGATTTCTGTCATCTTTGTGTTTTTATAGTCGTGTGTATTTAGTGAATATGCTTTTCGAACTAGTGTTTCGATTCGTACTGCTAATTGCTTGATGGTTTCGTTTGGTAATCTGCGAATTTCATTACATAAAACTCTTTGTTGTTGTTTGTTTCTTTCGGAGTCAAACATTTTTGAAAATTCCTGTGTAAACCTTTTCCAGTTTGATTTTATTTCTAGAGGTAGTACTGAAAACCATTTTTGGGCTGCGCCATCTAAGGTTGTTTGTATTAACGCTGTGCGTCGATGTATCCAGTTTTGATGTAGTGGCGTATTAATTGGTTCAGGTCCAATATTTAAAATCAGGTTTGCTGTTACTGCATTTAAATAATCTTCTACAGAGTATTCAGGGTCTGTTCCTGTGAAAACCATTAAAGGTTTGTTTGATGTTATTGATGATCCACCCATAAGGTATGGATTCATTGTCATTTGTAATGATTGTGCTGCATTTGGCATTTGAGAAAAATTTGAAAGTTGGTTTCTTGTTATTTCATGTTGTTGGAGATAATATGGGAGTGGTATTTCATTTTGCATTTGTGATGGTTGATACGAGTGTGCAGTCATTGGATTTTGTTGTTGAATTGGTTGAAAAGATTGTGTATTAATTAGATTTTGTTGTTGAATTGGTTGTTGATGTTGTGCATCTATTGATTGTGGAGAAAAATTTCTATGATTTGTACGTGTTCTCTGTATTCCTTGTCTACGATATTCTTGAGTATTTGGTGCAAATATATCTGGTTGTAAGAAATCATCATCTGAGGATAAATAATCCATTTGATAAGATGTCTGTTTTTTATTTTTATTTTGTTGAAAAAATGGGTAATTTTCACTGTGATCCTGTGGAGGATTTGTTTGGAAATTTATTGAATTAGGTTGGGTCATTGGGTTATCCCAATTTCGAGATCTTGTATATTGGTTAAAATTTCTTTGTGGTTGATTATATGTTTTTGATGGATGTGTATAATTATAATTATGGTCTGTAAAGTTGTTTCTAGTGAATGTTTTGCGTGTTTTTGATGGTATTGTCATGGGTCTGTATGTTTGGTAATCCATATGTGAATATTTAGGGGCAACCGAAGGTTTAACGGTTGATTGTAAGGTTACCTGTGTTTGTGAAGGATTTGTATTTCTTGGTGTTGTTAAATTTGGGCGTATTGGTGAAATACTTTGTTGTGTAGTTGTTGTGTGTACAATTTCTTCATTTATGAAGTGTGATGGTGTCTGGATATCTTGTTGAGTAAGATTCCTAGTTCCATTGAGGTTTTCGTTGTGTATGACTGTAGAGTTTAAACTATTATTTTGTGTATCGGGCAAAAATGTATTATAGTTTAATGGTGTTGCATCAATGGTGAATGGTATTATTTTTACATAATCTCTTATGTAAGATATCGTACTTATTGCTTGACTTGAGATTGATTGTGGGAAGCTTATAAATGCGGGATGAGACCATTCGGGGTCCCAAACATAATCTGATTGTTCTGTGATAGCGGTATCATCGTTCGAGTTTTGGGGTCTAAAATTTTTTCTTGCTTGTGCAATTAAATCAATATTGTGTGTGAAATAATCTATTATGAACCATGCCAAAATTTTTTGTAGATCGTGTTTTGTATGTTGTGAAACGTCGTCTTTCGTGAAATTTTCTTTAATGATGTTTAAATAACTAGAGAGTAGTGTGATTTCATGTCGTACTCTTAAATGTTTAGATGTTTCTGTCGGTGAGACATTTGTTATTGGGATTTCATTTTCTAATATCGAAATATAACTATATATTATTGCGAAAACTTCATTGGTGAATATGGAGTTTGCTCTTTGTGAGTTATGATATTGGATGCTTTTTATATATTCTGAAAAAACTTTTGAAAATTCTAAATCAAGATCGTCTGTTTGAGTTGTATATTTTCTATGATTATGGTTTGGTGAGGTGAATTCTATGGAGTAGATTCCATACTGTTGTGTTATGTTGCATATATCTTTTAAGTAGTGGTCTATGATTTGTCTTTTGATTTTTACATCTGGGAACTCTGTTTTACATGGACTGATTCCGGGTTCAAATAAATTTAATAGTAAATTTTTGCAAAATATATGCTGTCCTCTATCAGTGGTTGCATCTACTATAAAAGGAAAGATTTCATCATCATCTGGGGTTTCGTCACCTGGGGTGTGCGTTGAGCTCATTTTTTCGTTCGATGACTGTTAATATGTAATTATTAATGTGTCGAATTGGTTGATTCCAATTGTATAAATGTACTGGTTTGTGTTTATACTGCTTTTTTATTCTTCTTTTTCCTCTTTTTGATGAATTTGAAGTTGTTTCTGAGTCAGAAAAATATAATTGATCGTGAAGTGGGCAATTTTTATCTATTGATTCTTTTAGTTTGTAAAGTTCGTCTAAACTGTTGGTTTCTGATTCTGAAAATGCGTTTCGATTTTTTGAAAATCTTTTTCGTGTTATTTGTCTTTGTTTCGTTATTATTTTTCTTTTTAGTGTTTGTCGTTTTGTTCGAATGTATCCAACTGTTTGTGTATGAGGTGTGATTACAAGGTCGTATTTTTTGTTATCTATTTCACAATTGTGTAAAACGATTGTTTGTTTATTTCCTAGGTTTTTAAATGACATAAGGTTTAGGATGACGGATGCAAAAGGTTGTTAAATGATTTCTATTTTCCTAAACTGTTAGTACTTACGATTTTTTGGTTAGCTTAACCTGGGTCTATTTGTTCAGGGTTGGAGAGAAAAGTATATCGATTCCGAAGAATGATTCTTTACTTTCTCGTGGCTAGTATAAGTTAAGGTGTTAACTTACTTAATCTTACTTAGGGGTAGTGATTGTGTTCAAGGGTTGGAGAATAGTAAATCGATCCACAAGGTTCAGGTATAATTAGAACGCGAGTAGTTCGTTAGATACTATTTTAAACTTACTAAGTCTAAGATTTATCCTGGGTCTGGTAAGAGGGGGGGTCAAGTGAAGGATGAATAACCGAAGTTCTTCACTGTTTATCCTAATTTGAATGATTAGTTTTTGTTTAAAAATTTCTATTAGTCTTAGGTCTTTAGAAAGGGTTGGGTAGTGAATCGACGTTTGGGGTCGTTAGACACTAATTAAGTGGGTGGGGGAGAACAAAGTTGTTCTGTTTGATCCAAGGATAAGCCTTGATGATCAAATTTGAAATTTAATTAAGTAGAAAATGATTTAAGATCCAAGGATAAGCCTTGATGATCTGGTTTTAAAATTAAGTGAATTTAAGTTTTAATAAAATTTTAAATGTGTGTAAAGGAAAGATTTAGTGTTTTGATGATATTAGTGGGTTTATGATTGCTGTTATGTTTTAGGTGATGGAGCTGGAACAACAGGATGATTTATGATTACTAACCATTTATTGTCATGCTACTAATTTTTATTTTTTATTTTTCAATAAATATTTTTCAAACATGTTTTGTATATTACTGCAGAGTTTTAGGAAAACGATCTTAGATCTTTTTATCAATCGTTATTGTATATTAATAATTTTGTTTAGCGCCTGAAATGATTTTGAAGATTAACTTCAAGGTTTTATGTTTGCAAATGAAAATCTAAATTCATTGCCAGTAGTATTCTAAATATAAAAGTTTGTTCTGGTTTTTGCCTAACTATCATATAGCTATATGGCAAGTTTCTACTTTGTCGTATGTCGTCTCTGGTTCGAGGTCTTCTTCCAATTCCGGGTAGTTCTGTTATGGTTCGGAATATTGGCTCTGATCTATTGAGTCGTAGAGACATTTCGATTAAATTATTGTCGTATAACATTTTGTAAATGTTTTTGTCTAATTTCTAATCTATTTTGGTTAATTCTAAGCTATTAAGGTCTTGTTCGAGACTTATGGTCGCACCAGATGAGTTAGGACTGGAGTGTATAACTCATAGAGTAATTTCGGATAGGGTACACCGTCTGCTCGTCACGCTATCTTATTTTCGGCCGGATAGATTCGTGCAACTTCTTAGTCTAATACCGATCCTAATCTTACTCTTATACTATCTAGTCTCAGGTTGTTTAACTAGTCTCTGCTAGGCTCAATAGATCTAGGGTATACTGGTTTATTGCGGCTGCTGAAGTGCTCGGGAGAGTCCAACTAATTTCTAAGTTAAATTCAAATCTCTCTGGTGCTGAAATTACAAGTAACTTCAGCACTTACAAATAAGTGGGTTGTTAGTTAGATGGATCATGATTGGTTAATATTAAATACTTTACATTGGTAAAATATCTAATTTATCCAATCATAAAATGTAGTTTAGATCAGGTTCCAAAAATCAAAAGATTAAAATACCTGTTATCCGTCGTGACATTCGGAAACTCTGGGCTTGCGTAGACATTTTTGAACGCGCACTGAAACTTCCGCCAAACTTTTGTATGTTTCAGACAATCGTGGAGGTACACAAAATTATTCACATCAAAAGACGCGCCTTCTGCATACATTCTCACACATCTGGGAACTTCGGGTTTCTTCGGCGTCATTCTCCCTGGCAAACAAAAAAATTGAAAATGAAAAATTTATTTTCAGGTTGCTGAGAAAGTGGACATAAATATTCCAACCAAAGTCTTTTCCGATAACAAAAACTTAAAGAAAAGGGTTGAAGAAATTAAACTTTTTGAAAGGAAGTGAATTAGCTGAAGTTATCTGCAGTCATTCTTTAGTAGCACATAGAAAGAAGTATCACTTGTGACTCGCGTTGCTTAAAATTATTTTGAAAAAAAGTTTTGAACAGCTGTTTTTAGTCAGATTTAATCAGTTTAGATTGGCAGCTCAAATTATGATTAAAAGCGTTTTCGAACGATGCAACGCTCGGTCCCATTCGTTGAAAAAATGCACCTATCTGAAATTCCTCTTTAGTTTCGGTCATTGGCCGGATCAATTAAAGACTTCTAGCTAAGATTTTTTTTTTCAAAGTACTAATCATTATTTTTTAATTGAGATGCCATACAAACTTCTATAAAAAATTAGCTATACAATGCAAGTTTAGAACTGCAGAGGGTCATCGGCCTCAGCTACTCAAATCAGCCACCCGATGAGCTGGTAAAACAGCACAGCACATAAAAGCTTAAATAATCATAGCTCGCATCTTTTCAACTACAAGCTGTCCACGCTTTCAGTTTTGAAAGATCTCCAGCAACTTCTAATTTTTTTTTAACGCAGAAAAAAAGAAAAAACAAAAATTTTAATATTATTACAATTAATTGTAATTTAAAAACCAGAGGAAATATTTTTTCGGCAAACTAATGATATTTTAAAATTTTCTTTTCCAAAAATTTCACGATTAATCTAATTCCACGTTTCTGTGCACAGCAGGCTTGAGTCCCGTTTTCAAGCTCTCAAAAACTGTGCAAAATTGAGTTGAGGCAGCTAAATGTTCAAGGGACAAACATTAGCTTTTTGGATTTCGCGTGGGCTAAAAACAGCAATCGAGAAAATAACCCGAAAGTACTAGACAAAAACACTTGAAAACTGAGTTCGTTCGTTGTAAATTCAAACTGGCTAGTTCAGTAGAATCAATAAAATTCAAAAATTAATAGAAAAGACTACTACTACTACTTATGAGTTTATTGTCCGTTTTCCCATTGGCGTTAGACATTGGGAAAGTGCGCAAGCAATGAAAAGATGAGCGCATTGTGAATAGCATTCAAGCTATTCAATAGAAGATAACATCTTTTTCCATGCCATTTAATCAAGGCAGTCTGTGGGTTTGAAGTTTAAAGTATTCAGTTCAAGTTTAGCATCATTGATCCAGCGTGCTTTAGGTCTTCCTGCTGGTTTTTTTCCTGGGACTTAAATATGGTCTGTTGATTTATGTACATACTCATTTTCTCTTCGGTGAACATGGCCAAATTATCGTAGCCATAACCGCACTTGTAACTTGTCCAAATCATTAAGACTTGTCATTTTAATTACTGCTTCATTGGTATTTCCTGTAATCCTACGCAGAGCGTTCATATCAGCAGTCTTAAAAGAGCTGCATATTGCCTTGGTCTGAGCCCAGGTTCCAGAGCAGTGCATCGAAACTGGCTGGAGACAAGCTCCGTACATATGACACCTTGTAATCAAGTCTAATTTTTTTTTGAGCAGCAGAGGCGCTACTTTCCGCCATTTCGCGCACAAAGCTATTATTGTAACCCATGATAAACGTACTGCGACACTTCCACTAAAATCATGTCACCCGGATAGCAGAACTCGTTGGCGGTATCACGGGCTTCAAATTGATTGATTCGTAAAAAAGCATTCTGATTTCAGCAATAATTGGAAGGACTTTTGCATCTTGAACAAACATTATTATGTACCTTATTCTTCGCCCTTGATAAAATTCAAAAGTTACAGCTTCTGCTCGACGATCATGTTGGAATGAAACCATTCTGATTGAAATTTTCGCTACTCTGAAACGTACAGTAATAATCAGTGTTTTTTTTAAAAAAAATTGTTACGAACAGCTGGATTTTGTGACTGACAGACATTGCAAAGTCTGTGACCCTCTGAAATTTCAGTTCCAAAGCAGAAAAGGTCAATTTTGCAGTCAAAATCTTAGAGCCAATCTCCAATATGTCTAATCATGTCACCTAACGCAAAAGTATATTCTTGTGAGATAACTGAGTATCTTCTAGAGTGTTATAAAATCCTGTTTTTCCGCATCTTCTGTACCAGCTCATGGTGCGTACGCATGTACAACAGTACACACAGTATGCCCTTACTCAAGTTCTAGGAGCATATCACGTTTATTCGCTCTACTAACTTCCAGTACATTTTCAACAAGTCGATCATTAATGGCTATTGCACTACCATTTGTGCCTTTTGATTTTCCTTGTCAGAAAAACCGAGTTTTTTGGTCGCCTTATCCAAAACGTCTCATTGCGAATGTCTTAAAAACGAGCTTCTTGTAGACAGCGCACCGGTATCTTTCTTTTACCAAGAGTTTCGCATATCGAACAAAAAATTTCAATGTGTATCCTACGTTATATGGGAAAGGTACGGTTCATCAATACCATGATGGCAGTTTGTATGGCCTTAAGATGCTTGACCTAGACAAAATACGGATTGCACTGCTCCTCGATTAGTACTTAGATACCCGGGTTGACAAAGAATCCTACCTTAGAACTTCTAACAAGATTTGAATGAAATATCCGTTATCTTACATTTTTCTTATAAAGCGTGGCAAATTATCGGCACTCATAATCGTTGCAAAGTGAATCGAGGCCAACTATAATTGGCCATATTAATCTTACTAAACTGTTAGCATTTGCATTTGATATTCGCAGTACAAAAAGTATTTGAGAGCAGGTACGGGGCAGTCGGAACATTCAAAGATTTGCCCAGACACTAGCAGCCTTGTTTTCAGTATCATACAAATTTCGACTTTTCAACTAGCAATTTTCGACAGAGATTTTAAATTTAATTCGAAAGCTATTGCTGTCTTGAGTAAACTAAGATTTTTTACCTGTTAATAATTTTTGAAAAATTATGGGGGCTTAACGATTGTCAATTTGAGGCAATTAAAGCGCACTATATTTGGTGCTATTAACGCGTAAGCGGAGATTTCTCCGTCTTAGAATTCATTCCAAATCGAATTCAGGCATGCTATTTGGTGTATTGAATACTTCGCTATATGCGAAATATATCACTTTGACCTTTATATAGCGCGTGGGGGGATCCATAGACCTTAAAGGGCAGTCGGAACATTCAGGGCTCGCCCTGACACGATCAGTTTTGTTCTATTTATGCTAGTTTTTTTAATCATAACTCTTTTTATGGTGTCCAAGTTTAATTTAGTTTTCCGAGTTGACCTTTTGCCTGATATATATGTCGGGGATAATGAAACAAACACAGAATATTTTATCCTAGGCGGTCAGGTCAGTCCACGAGCGTAGAATATATCTTCACTGACCTGGTCTAACGACTTGCCTCTCTTCTTGCTCTTCGTGCTCCAACTCTCGTTCTTGCTCCTCGTCGAACAGATCCACAAACACTTCTCTCTCAGAACCCAATTCCTTGCATTTATCAACCAGATTGACTCTGAACTGTTCGCAGTTATCGCTTACATTCATTTCCTCATTACGATCCGAAACCACTTTCCACAAAGTTGTTTTTTCCCTGTACACTCCGTACATTTTTTTCAACTCGGTAACTTCGTTTTGGACCACATTCTCCGCAAAGCTCTTCAGTGATCGGCTGCTAGCACCCACATTGTATCGATCGTACACGCACAGTTTGTGCAGCTGGTCCGAGCCCTGATTAGCCCAGTGAACTAACCCGTCTTGGACTTGCTTGTGACTATTTTTGAATGCCCATGAAAGCACTTTGCCGACCTCTGATATATCGCTTGAGAAGTCTCGACTCTGAGACTGGATCTCGAGGTCCACTTCATAAGATGCGAAGAAAGAAAGACTATGTCCGCAACCCAGCAGCCGCATTCGCATACAAGCCTGGGATAACTTGTCCTTTGCCAGGCCTTTTCCGAGAGTAACTGCCGCTTTCGTCCCATTTGGGAATTGCAAGTCAGTTCCCCGAGTATGAACGTCGTCCAGGTATACAATGCAGGAGCCGAGTTTTTCTGCAAAAGGTGAGAGGTGAAACGGGGTATCGAACCCCTTTCTATCAACAACCATCATGTTGTCCTTGCCGTCGAAATAAATCGCCGCTTCAATTTCAACTTCCGACACTTTTGACATCCAAAGCTGAACAAAAGCTTTATTGTGCAGCATAATTAAAGCTCCGGGATCCAAAATTACTTTTGTTTTGTAATCACTTTGGTCCAGAATGAAATCCAAAATAACCTCGCCGCTTGCTCCATGACTAAGAGCGCGGTAAAATTGGTTCTCGGGTTTCAGCAAATTGTGTATTACGAGAGCGTTCGTTCCTTGAAGTGAGGGCAAATCCTGTTGTTGAATTGTGAGGGGCAACAGCAGTTGGGTTTCATTGGTGCCACTGAAACCAGTAATTAGGTTGCCGTTTTCACGACATAAGTCCCAGCCGGTCGCCGACAGTTTTTGAGGGAACTGTTTAGCCTCTTGCTGATAGACCATATTAACAAGCCAGTAGTCAACTACTAAAACATGTTTGTGAAACAGCTTATACAAAGCACGGAGCTGAATCTGGTCTGATAAGTTGATGCAGCTACAACTTCTCAGCTCTCGTGGAATGTAATCGGGGTGACAAAAATTGACCCACTTGTCATATATAGCTGTTGCCACACTCATTTCCACTGAAGTGAGTGTCCGAAGAACCTCTTCAAATCCATCTCTCGGGATGCCTTGATAGTAATAGGTCAGCTGTGTCAACGCCAACGCCACATCCGGGTGGCCAAAATCGGTTTTATCCGCCGCTACATCTTTCGCCCGGAAAGGAACAGCCATTTTGCGGTACTTTCCAACTCCGTAGTTCACTCGGTGTCTCAACGACAAACAGTGCTGCAGAATTTTCAAGCCAAAGAATCCTCGAAGCAGAAACACAACATGTGGAATTTCAGAATCGCCAAGGGTCACTCGCAAGTTTGCAGTCTGATTAAACTCCAGCTCCTCGGCGATTATGTAATTCTTGACGCATATTTTTTGATCCTCAGTCAGCGGTTTTAAATCGGCTTCCGTTTTGCATTCAAGAAAATCGTCGATAAGCATGTCGCTTATTTTCCAGAAGGACTCCGAATCTTTGTCGAGAAGACGGAAAACGTTGAATTGATGTTGAGTATCCCATTTATCTGATTCAATCATAACATGTTCTGAGCCGCACTTCTCGAAAATTAAACTTGCGTGTTTTTTCAATCTGCTGAAAATACTTTGAAGAACTACCCAGCGTTGGTTACTTCCATCCAGTGGAATTTGTGATCCCACCGTGTAAACCAACTGTCTTTTAACCGACAAAATGTCATCGCTTTCGTCTAGGATGTTTCGAATATTCTTTTCGTAAGTTTGCGAAAAAAATTGGTAGCTTTTTGCTTGTTCGCTGCTGCCGTTGATAAAAACTTCCAGTGCCTTGAGTTGCATGGACATCATTTGCTCAGGAGTACTGACCATGAATCCTCGTTGTTTTTTATGTTCGTGTAGACAAGTGGAAAGATGATTCATTTGCTCGCAACTCAGCTCAAGATCTCTGCAGAAAGGAAGTTTAAGAAGTCGCATATCGAGAACGCCCCCCATTTTGGCGCGCAAAGACTGAGAGTTAGTGGGGTAGAGCGAGCTCAAAATAACAACCTGTGGGCAAAGTCCCTTTTTGCGTGATATCGAAGCTACCAACATAGGCACTATTACGCTGGATTTGCCCTCACCCATGTTTAACTGCATAACTGCATTCTTATCATCTGGTGGATCGAACATCTGTTGTGCAATTTCAACTTGTGCAGGTCGTATCATGAAGTTTCCTTCGGCTTCGAGGATCAGCCATTCTGCGAACTCTTGAGGAACCCAGTTGGTGTGTCCCACGTTATTCAACTCACGTTGTAGATGTACGGATTTTCTGCTCTTCAGGTGTTGCAGACATCTTTGTAATCGTTGCTTCTCCGTCCACCTGACCACTAACGCGCCTAAGAGGTCCCTCCAATCATACTCGTTTGGAACTTGCGGAGGTCTTCTCCTTCGTAGCAAAAGCGGAACTAGTTCCAACGGTGATTCTCGAAACATAAGTCCGCATCTATGCAAAGCTGTTTCCACGCATTGATTTTCTCTCGGAATCAAAATCTTCATTAGGGCATTTTCTGTTTCGAGTAGTTTTTGACGCGCAACTTCTAACTTTTTTTCAAGCGTGCCCATATCTGGTTCAATTTGTTCGCTGTTCATTTTTCCGTCTTTGAAAGCCCTCCAACTTTCTTCTAAGCGGTTTTTGAAATCTTGACTAATGGCATCTTCAACCTCGAACCCTCCGATCATATCAACTATGTTTTCGTCTTCATTTTGGGAACATGCTTTGACAGTGTTCTGATTTTTGTGTACAAAGGGCAGAATAAGTTCATCGAAACTTTCGGGAATAACGTCCAAATCGAACTTTTGATCAAGATTGATGCGTTTTGCAAAGTTCACTTTCTGAGAAAAGCTAGCCTCAAATTTAGGGATTTTAGCTACTCTTATATTTGAACTATTGTTGACGATCGAATCTATAACAGCATCCACTTGTTTCAGAAATTCGAGCAATTTTTTGTTCTTATATCGCTTGTCAAACAAATCTGAAAGAGCTTCGATCGCCGATTGTTTGTTCAGGAGTTCATAATTTCCAGAAAACTGACATCTAGTGTCGGGCCAGGCATTCATTGCCAGTTGAGTTACTTGGTTTTCTTCTTTAGTTTTCGTTTGATCGAAATAGTTTTCCGCTTTTTGCTTCTCTCTGAGGTATCTTTCGGTTTTGGACTCTCTGTCATGATCACTGCAACTTCTGTCGAGCCAAGCATCGATAAACGCATCTCTATTCCTAAAAAAGCCACTAATGCTACTCATGATGTCGCTTCTTTCAACTCTAATTCGGGGCAGGTCCTGGTAGTACGGATAAGCAGGAGGATCAAGTGCTTGAAACATGTCGAAATGTTGTGAGATCAAGAAAAATGACGCCAAGTACGCGAAGTCGATCAAGTTTTCGTATACCAGAAAAGAAGTCATCGCAAACAGCAGGTATCTGGTTGTATCGCCTTGACGGGCTAGTTCATAGAGGTCAAGCAAGCACTTGTCCTTAACCTCCAGTTGTTTCCAGTCACTTAAGGATCTGTTGTTCATCAAATCTGATGTTCTAAGGCCCCCCATACTTGTTAAACTCGTTGCCCATTCGCTTAGCGAGTAATTGTAATTATATAAGGGCTCTGAATTTCGAAGACGCAATATCGAAGATATCGTTCGAACTTTGTCAATAACTTCTTCGTCTTTTAGAATGATTTCTGTATTATACAAAAGGTTGGATGAATCTGCTACATTGACTTTTGAGTTCTTCACATTCAGTGGGTAAACTTTGTCCTGGATGTTCTGGATTGCTCTTTTTGCTAGAACAGAGGAATTTTGGCGATTTTCTGAAAAATTGGACTGTGTTCGGTATGCTTTTTCTTGATCATGATACATGTACGATAGTTTGTTACTGTGAGCCCGTAAATTCTCACATTGGGACCTTAGCGACTCCAGGGTACAAATGGAATATGGCGGAATTTGAGGGTATTGCTCAATTTCCGCGTACGGTCCATGTTTTTTGTTAGAGATATATTCTCTTATGCAACAACATTTTTCTAGAACACTCAAGATTTGTTCTGATCTCGTATCCAGCGGTGTGCATGAATAGCTTCGACCCTTGCTCAGAATTTTCATTCCCAATTCGAAACCTGTCAGTTTTGTAAAGGGGTCAGGCAGGGGGTAAGATGTTTTCACATGAAACATGGCAAGGTAGAGATTCGCTACATCGCTAGATGGCGGCAAAAGTTGTTTGAAATTTTCATCCACGTTGTAAGCGAAAAAAGATGGATCATGGAACGAACTTTTGTTGACCTCAATTCGCACATGCTCGGAAGAGAGCGATTCAGCGATTTTGCCATGGGGGATTATTACTTTCTTGTCTGATCCAGACTCAAGAACAATTCCGCTCTTAAAGCCAATTAAAGTTCCCAGATAGCCAGATTTGGCTATTTTGAAGCCAGGATACTGAAATGCATTAATCTGAGAGTAGTCGTCGGAGATCGAAAATGAAAGACGGTGCCTCGGGAGTGAAATAGACAACGTGTTTTTTTCAGGGTGCAAAAATACGTGCACATGATCAGGTATTTCAACTCGGTCAAAAAGCAAACTTTGCAGGTTACGGAAAATTTGGCTAGCGATGCCTATCATTAGGGAATCATCGTCATTATCAATCAATTCCCATGAATATGTTTTATCTAAAATTTGATATGACGAGAGTTTATTTTCGAATACATTCGGACTCCAAAACTCAATAGATTTTGACTCAATTTCTTGATTTTCTACATAGTATTCCAACCAGTGACCAAATTGACACAATTCATGGGGCAAATGATTTCGCAGAAGGCTGGCAGGCAGATAATGCAGCCTTTTCGTGGAAGTCTTTTTGGTTACCAGGAGTGTTTTACTGTCGACCATCATGAACTGGTAGCAAGCGCCATAGATCTTATTCATAGTCACAAAGCTACCTGGGCAATCACCAGGACCTACGGTCAAGTTTGCAGATCCAAAAATACGTTGGTAACATGAGTGTGAGGTTATGTTCCGTGGGAGACGCTCAACAGGATCGTTATTCATGAGAAAGGCTCCAGTTAGAATGTTAATGCACAAATGGTCTCCGTGATTCAGATCTTTTTTCATCCAAGGATCCCCATGAGGGGCTGGCGCCCATCTTGATTCAACGCCATTTGGTTTTTTCAGGCTAGGATATTGCCTAGATACGAAACTTTGAATGGTTTCTAAATCAACTTCAAGCAATGATTTCAGCTTCTTTTCTACTCGTAGTCCTACCGACCAACTTTTTTGCACAAGATTCCTGATAAAAGGCCATTCTCTAGCTGTCATGTTGTTCATCAAAAAGTTGTCAGAGACATTGTTTTGAGCTATAAACCAGCTTATAGCGTAATCTGAACGATTGAGGATCGCTTCTAAATTTTCGGCACTCACGTGTAACGTACTGGCTATGGTAAGACTGATTTGGACTAGTTTCAATTTAAGTTCGGGCTCGTCAACGCCAATGATTTGCAGCGATTCAATTTTTTGTTTCACTTTGCTGCTCCAGTTCAAGCCAATCTTTCGACAACGAGACAGAAAGAACGAAATTTCACATTTATTTTCCGAGAACTCAAGCAAACGACAGCCAAACAAAACTAAACATAGAAGAGATAAATTTTTATCCCAGTTGTCCTGGATAGCATCCAGTTGAACATCAAGAACTTTCAAGGCATCAGACACAAAATCTTCGTCTAAAAAATCTCGATGCTGATTCCGAGCTCTTTTCTCTTGATCATCTTCTGAGTAGCCACACGGATTACTCATTTCACTTTCTGATTCCTTCAGGTTTCCATTTTTCTTTTCGTCTGAAATCTGACCTCCAGTTTCCCAAAGAATCTGGCAAACAAGCGACACCACATCTTCGTGATGCCAAGAGAGAGCGTTGTTTTTAAAAGCTGCAATGAGGTTCCGAATTTGAATTCGGCTACCTGCCCGACAACATCCAAAAACACGAAATTCTTTGAGTGAGAGTTCGGACGGACAGTCGCTCTGCCTGCAAATCACTTCATTATCGCTGTGCAAATTGCTATCAATTGTCCATTGAAGGCACCTGTACATACCAACTGCAACCATTGTGATCTTTTTACGAAGATCTTCTAAGAACGTCGGGTTGTTTCTGTAGTCGGAAAAACTGTTCTCGCCCGAAAGCGGAGTAATCCTGTTCGAGCTAAAAGAGCGGACACAGCCCAATCTTAAGGGGTCTTTGTGTTCAATTATGAAGTTTTCGCCCGATGGCGAATTCTTCGGGTGCATGGGATTTCGTTTGTAGTTGAACTCGGATGAACTCATTAAGGTCATCTGGTCAGACAGAGATCCAAGGTAACTGGGACTTTTATAAATTCGGAGATCTCTGTGTTCAGACCAAACATCTCGCTTTCCACTACGTTCATTCGCAATCCAGAAATTCAAAACCTCTGTTTTGAAGAAATGAATCGCTGATCGCAAAACACGAACTTCGTTTGGACAATTGAGATCAAAGACAACGGCGTGTTGGCCTTCAATTTTGGACGGAAACGGTTCACGGTATAGAGAAACACTGATATTCTCAGCCCTTGAGATTAAGGCGCATTTATTGCACCTATCACTGTGTTTTTCTGTCGAATAGTATGTTCCTGTTATGTATTCACAGACTTTACGGCTAGCCTGATCCTTCAAGTCAAGGTAACCCGCATACTCAGATGCGACTTCCCGTTTTTTACGTTTTTTTGAGGTTTCAACGATTTTAAGAATTCTTTGGCGCTTATTTTTCATATCTTCATTAGAACAAGCGTAACGCACATCTAGAGAATTAGGGTCGGTCGGGTCACCCATCAATATAACGGGGATTTGACCTTTGAACCTTGAAGTCAAGTAGCTCTCAACATGGCGCAACTGATCAAGTTGTTCTCGTAAAGGCAACAGAAAGTGATTCACAATCGACACATCCATATCCAGGCCGTGATCTAGAATCATTGGATTTATGTGGCCCGCTTTTTTGTCTAGAATCACGAGGAACGAATAACAAGTAAGCAGCATCACGCTGTACATTTCAGGGTTTCCTTCGTACATTTGAGACGCCAACTTGAAATAGTCTTTGAAACAGGCGAACGTTTCCTTCATTGATGATGGGATGTCTTCCGCAATGTTTTGGCAATGAGTCCTTGCCCATAGTTCGTTATCAAACAGAGCCTGAACTGTGCGAAAATCCAGAAACTTCACTTCTGAAGTCAGATAGGGCGCTACACTTTTTAAAGTGTTATTTGGATTTCGGTTTATCTTTTGATCCAACGCATCTGGGTTGTACAGTCGCCCGGTCTGTCCCTGCAACACCACAAAAATGATAACATATCTAGAATATGTGCTTGGGCGGGGTTTTTATAATTGCAGGCTGTTAGATCGTTAGTACCAATTACGAACGTCAGATTGAAATTTGAGTTTTTACCAAAAATTCTTGCAAAAAAAATGAAAACTAGACGAACGAGCATTGCCGGTTGCAGTGCAGAAGTAGCACATAAAATTCCAACCACGTTCATACAATAACTACAAAAAAATATATTTGTCCTTTTTTCAAATTAGTGTCGCATACCGATGACTATTTGCGGTACCTAATTTTGCCTGGAAAACAAAATATAATTAAAAACAATCGAAGACAAAGTTTTCTCCTTATTTTCAATGGTCGGATCAATAATTGATTAGATTTTAAGCTGTTCAAGCAGTATACCTGGACATTGATTTGATAAATAGAAAGTCACAAAATTGGGCAACAAGATCATTATTTAAAATATAAATACTGTTTATGAAATTTCTTTAAATTTTTTCGAAATTTGATGAAGTCTACCGCAACTCTCTTAAAAAATTCTCGGCAACTGTCAGATAACTTTTTAAGATTTATTTTGCTCTGATCAGTGCAAATATGGGTAGGAGCTTTTGTCTCCGAGTGTTTTAGATTTTTTCGTTTTCTACGCAAAACCAGGTACCACAAATAGTCATCAGCATATGCCGAACGATAATCATTTTGTTTTTTAGTCAAAATTTGAGCGAGTTGGTGTTATACTGCAAAAAAAAATAGCTCTGCAAAAGTTAATTCACTCTCAGAAAAAGGTTTACACAGCTTCGATCAGCATTTATTTTGCAATAAAGTGCTTTGGAAAATTCTTAAAAGTTTTCTAAATTTTCGCAGATTAATTTTATTTTTTTGTTCCATTTTTCGTTTTTTTGAGATACAATTAGCCAAACGTGGTCGCAACTTTTTCTGCTATTTGCACAGTAACCGGCTAGTCTTGGTTTGAGCTGGTTTTGAAAGATTGTAATTACTTAACCGAACCCATAACTAGAAATTTTACCAAAAATAACTCGACACAGCTTTGTTTTGAATTAAATTCAAACGAGAGTAGCTAGTTGCAGTGCAAGAAGCACAGAATGTTCCGACCTATGTTCATTGTGTCAAGTTTTTGCGCTTGATGTGATAACAGAAACTAGAAGAAAGCTTAGATTGTAGGTAATTGTCATATACATTCTTTTCTGATTGATATTTTGTCCTTGCTCTCAAGCTGCTATGTTATTATTTAGCGTTACAGGCTATCAGTGTTTATTATTGTTTTAAAATGTGGGCGGTTAGGCGAATGTTCATTGTGTCGTGTTTTTGTGCTTGACAGGAACTAGACGAAAGCTTAGGTTGCTAGTAGTTGTCATATACATTCATTTCTGTCTAATATTCTGTCCTGTATGTTGTTCCTGTATGTGCTGCTATGTTATTATTTAGCGCTAAAGACTATCAGCGGTTAGGCATATCTTGCACTGAGGGATGCTTAGCAATACATATTCCTCTAGATTCTATCTCATCGATCGGAGCAAGTCAGAGCATGATTGGATCAACTTATTCTCTCTCTATTCTGCTCAGTTGTTTTACAGCTCGGTTAAACAATTCTATCGCTGGTAGAATTAGTTATCAATGTTTACATAGCTGAGTAAATATAAGTTTGAGCTCCAGTTTTTTGTTAAGCTGAATTACACAATTAATTATTTCAAAATGGCTTATATCAAATGCATGACGTCAGACAGGGAATTCACAGTGATTTATTACAATCATTCACGTTTGTCTCCAAAAAATGAAAACCAAAACAAAAAAAAACAAAGTAATTCGAAAAATTAGAAAAGTTTTAGGAAACTTTCCAAACCATTTTTTTTACCAGTGAAGCGCCGATTGAAGCTTCATAAACTAGTTTTCTAAAAATTAAATTAATTTTTTGTAGGCCGAAATATATATTTTTTTGAATTAATTATAACTCCTACTTGCTCAAAGTTTGACTTAGCAGCAAAATCCTTAAAGCGGGAAGATTTTTTGTAAAATGGTTCGATTCACGACTAAAAGGGCTTGAGAATAAAAGTCATTCGACATATTTTAGTGACTACTTATGGAACCTCATTTTGCATGAAAAACAGAAAATCTAAAATTTACTCGGAGAAAAAGTTTCTTCCCACTTTCAAAGGTCGTAACAACAGGCGCAGTCTTTTAATATGCATTAAGTATATGAAAAAATCCAATTTTTTAAAGGAATTTAAAAAAATAGCTACAGAAAATTACTTATTCGATTTAAATTAACAATTTTTCCAAAAGAATGATCACTTAAATGCCTTGATTAAATTTACTTTCATTTTTATGAACCCAAAATCATTTAACCTTGTTAACTTTATTTTTATCCGTGATTTCTGGTAAAAAAAAATAACGAGAAATGGATTTTGTGTAGGTTCAAATTATCATCCTGTTGAAGTCCGAAACTGAAAAACTAGTTTCGTCGCTCTTACAACTTTCTCGGATGACCTATTTATATTATTGAGGTGCATTAAAAGTTAAGCATATGCTGTTCTCTGTCAAAAATAATAATTTCCTGTACAAATTGTGGTATTTTCGTTTTTGGGAAAATGAAAGTTTTGTCGTTCTTTACGTTGCAATTGTTGTTCCGAATTTCGATACGAAAGTACCGGAATATTTGTGCTCGGGGTGAGTTTTTTTTTCTTCAGACAAATTTCGACTTTTTAACTAGCCATTTTTGACGGAATTTTTTTATATCATTCAAAAGGTATTGTTGTCCTGAGCTTAAATTTGAAAAGATATTTCACCTGTGATCATTTTTCGTGAAGTTATGAGGGTTTAAAGATTGCCATTTTGGCCATTTTGACCAATTTGGGACAATTAACGCGCGATATAATTCGCGCTATTAACGCGTAAGCGGAGATTTAATCCGTATTATAAATCGTTCCAAATTGGTTGAACGAAGCTTATTTGCCTTAATTGATTTGTTACAAGGAACGAAATCTCTCTTTTTGTACTTTATATGGCGTGTGGGGGGATGATTTTCATAAAAAATTTCAAACTTTAGAAAAAAAATTTCGTTTCATTTTATTTCATTTAATTTTTTTATGTTACTACTGCTGCTCCATAAACCTTAAAGGCAGTCGGAACATTCAGGGCTTTGCCCTGATACGAGCAGTCTTGTTTTTTTTTCTGATGCTACAGATCTGACTTTCGAAAGAAGTGATGGAAAACTTGCGTCCTATATAGCTTCTTGCTTTCATTTATTAACTTTTATTGTTCCGACTTTCGAAGAAAACGGAAGATTTATGCTCCGTGCGGTTTTTTTATTCAGTCAATTTTCACCGATCGAAATTATCATTTTCCACAAAATTTTTTATACCCCATTGAAAATATCGACTTCCTGAGTTCAAATGAAAAAAGATTTTGCTATGTTCTGGACTAATTATGCGCGCTTTGAAGAATTTATTCAAAATGCTGAGAGCGTAACGTGAATTATTCATGCGCGGCGATTTATCCCGCACAATAAATTTGTTCGAAATTGAATTTACGCTAGCTAATTGGTCGTATTACTTTCGTATGACACAAAATTTTACACTTTGATATTGTCCAAAATGTATAGGTTTTCAATATTTTCTTTCCCCAAAAACGATTCGATATGAATTAAGGGATAATCGGAACATTCAGGGCTTTGCACTGATATACGAGCAGTCTTGTTTTAAACTAAAACTGTCGTGTTGAGTTACATAGAAAAATTTCTGTGCATTTGGATTTTGCGAATATACAAATAAAAGTAATCTACTTCTGTTGACCCTGGAAACTTTACAGCTTAGTGTCGTCCAATTTGCTATTTGTTCCAAGGCTCAAACTATCGGTGTGCAATAAAATCTAACAATATTTATAGCTTTGTCAAAATTGTACACAACTTTCAATTGCTCATATCAGAACGAATATCTCGGAAATAGTTTTTGATACAATCTGCCCCTTACGCTACACTAATTACAAAGCAATGTAAAAAGAGTCCAGCAAGGAATTAAAAACCCAAACATATTGGCTCAAGTCAATGTAGGACGATGAACCTGATTAATCACTGCTTGTGCTTTGATAGAACAAAAAATATTGTCCCAAGTTTGAAATATTGAGTTTATTGTCCCAAGTTAGCCAAACAGGCCGTTTGCAAAACATTATTTCTTTACCAAAACTAGTCAAAGGTGAAATATATATTTTTTTGAATTTGAGCTCAAGATGTCAATATCTTTCAAATAGTATAGAAAACTCGGCTCAAAACTGACTAGTTCAGAAATCTTCTGAAAAAAACACACCGAGCGCAAGTATTCCATCGTTTTTTCCAAATTCTATTTTTTTTGTTGATCGTTATTTACAACATTTTTCAATTTTCTATGTTACCTGTTCTCCGGGGACCGACCTTTTACCAGACCGACCTTTTACCAGTAAAGTTATAACATGGACCTTTTACCAGACTCGATAAACAAATTTGATTGACAGATGTATTCACGCCGTTTAGTCTGATTAAAGACATTGATTTCAGGGTTTCTCAACGAAGTTTTGTTTGTTCTAACCGCCTCCTTTTCAAACCTTCCACTAAATTTAATTTATAATAATTGAGTTATTGCATTCTGGTCTGGTAAAAAGTCGGTCTGTTAAAGGACCTAGCCTCCTGTTCACCTTTATAAAACACTATTTTTGAGCTCTGCTCGATCTTGTTTTCCTCCATCAAACTTGCATCAACTTGCTTCGAGTTACGGGGGTTTGAAAATGGTCAATTTGGGACAAACTTATAGCGCGAACTCTCCTATTTTCTATTAGGCGCCGGCGGCAAATTATTCCCCGTTACAAGCAATCTTAAATTCCATATTAAATTAAATGCGGTGTTGTTAGAAAAACGTAATTTGGCGTAGCTCCCTCCAATCTCCTAAGTTTTTTTAAACGCTTCAGGCTCCCAAATTTTTATTGCCTCCAGTATTTGCCAACTGATTCTCTGCCACCTCTGAAGGGTTTCTTTTAGGCATTCAAATTTTATGTTTTATTTCAAATTCACCTGAAAATCCATTTTCTGAAGAAAAAAAAACATACATTGTGGTACAGGAAACTCTGCGAAGTATGTTTTCCGAGAATTGGATAGAAATGGTTGGTATGAAAAAAAAATTGGCTTGATTCTTTATTCCTGAAGGTTGTTAAATACACATTTTGGACGATTAAGACTTGTTTTTATCGACATGCAAGATTGGATACTGACCTGCCTCGTGTGATGAGCAGTTTTTACAGTTTGGTAGAAGTTCTCGACTTCGGGCAAACTCAAGCATGTCTGAGCTCTCACTTCTCCGGGTGTAAGCCCGGCCAGATACTCATGAATGGCTCCATTGTCCTTACTCTCACGATCCCTATTTTGAATTTCCTCCCACTGAGAATCAAGTTTGAACCGAATTTTCTTTAGAATTGATGCTCCTGTAACATTCAGATAGAGATTATGAAAACGGACTAAAATGATTATGGGGCCAATGTGAAAACTTGGATTGACTCAAATTTTAACCACGTTACTTAGAATAGTTCGAAATGTATACAATTGTTGCCGCTGTGGTTTAAAAACCGAGAAAAAGATATTTCAGTCTCGCTATGTCTTTTAGTCTCAAAAACTGAAAAAAGGAAACAAACTTTTCTCGACGCCGGTACCAAAATGTTTGCATTTTGTTCTCATATCCGAATCAAGACCAGTAAGTAAACGTGATTTACTTTATTTGATACTACACTTGACTTTGACTACATACGAGCTTACTGTGATGTCATCACTTGCACCTTGTCCCGACCACCTTGCCCGAAGTGAATATAAGAAATTGTTGACTAACTGGTGTTTTTTTGTAATTAGTGCCTTATATTCACTTCATGGATTGGTCGGGATAAGTGCAAGTGCACCTTGTCCCGACCACCTTGCCCCGAAGTGAATATAAGAAATTGTTGACTAACTGGTGTTTCTTTTCAGTAGTACCTTATATTCACTTCATGGATTGGTCGGGATAAAGTGCAAGTGCACCTTGTCCCGACCACCTTGCCCCGAAGTGAATATAAGAAACTGTTGACTAACTGGTGTTTCTTTTCAGTAGTGCCTTATATTCACTTCATGGATTGGTCGGGATAAAGTGCAAGTGCACCTTGTCCCGACCACCTTGCCCCGAAGTGAATATAAGAAATTGTTGACTAACTGGTGTTTCTTTTCAGTAGTGCCTTATATTCACTTCATGGATTGGTCGGGATAAAGTGCAAGTGCACCTTGTCCCGACCACCTTGCCCCGAAGTGAATATAAGAAATTGTTGACTAACTGGTGTTTCTTTTCAGTAGTACCTTATATTCACTTCATGGATTGGTCGGGATAAAGTGCAAGTGCACCTTGTCCCGACCACCTTGCCCCGAAGTGAATATAAGAAACTGTTGACTAACTGGTGTTTCTTTTCAGTAGTACCTTATATTCACTTCATGGATTGGTCGGGATAAAGTGCAAGTGCACCTTGTCCCGACCACCTTGCCCCGAAGTGAATATAAGAAATTGTTGACTAACTGGTGTTTCTTTTCAGTAGTGCCTTATATTCACTTCATGGATTGGTCGGGATAAAGTGCAAGTGCACCTTGTCCCGACCACCTTGCCCCGAAGTGAATATAAGAAACTGTTGACTAACTGGTGTTTTTTGTCAGTAGTGCCTTATATTCACTTCATGGATTGGTCGGAATAAAATGCAAGTAGCTGATCTTAAATATCACGATACGATTGAGTAAAAATATCTTCTCTTCCATATCTTAAATAGAAAAAAACCGCTTACAATAACAGAAAAAAAGGAAAGTAGAAAAAAGAAAGAACTTATTTATCAAACAGGGCTAACAAAATATGGAAATAAGTTTAAAAATAAATTATAAAATTAATTAGGGGAAATTGAAAGCTCATGATGGAAAGGACAGACAAAGGGCACGCAATTGCCCCTTGGACATCTTTATTTACATTATACGATAAAATGATTATTTTAAGGCAGTCGTTCGAACAAATCGTCCCCGATGATCCTTTATATAAGGGAGAGTGTCCTATGACCCACTTTATAGCAATGGGCGTTAGGGCTATGCTATTGACAAATTTTGAATAAAACACCGCAGACTGTAATAATTTTTGCCATAATTAAACATTTGAAACCAGCTGGGCCTGAAACTCTCATGTAATAAGCCCTGATAACGAGTTGTAATAGGGACCTGATAACGAGTTTAATTAACTTTCTTGAACTTGACGATTCAACGGTTATTGCATCTTCTAAGTGAGACGTGTGCCTAGTGTCTCCGTATCACCTATGGGACAGGATGGACGCTTCCGGACAGAGGATACCCAACTGAACCAATGCAGCAGTAATCGGTGGACAAATTCGAGATGTTTTTTTTTAGCAAACTGAGATCCAAAAACAAGAATGTTAAAAGGAAATACAGAACATATTCGAAAAAATAAATACATTGAATGGCGTGTTTCGCAATATCCAAATTGCCTATCAAAAAGTAAAAAAATTGTTAGCATATACTATTTAAATTTCGTACATGAGCTCCTTACAGCAATTCTTGATTTCGATAATTCATGCCTTCTTCATTTTTCCGAGCCGGGAAAATTGTCAACTCCAAGGTCCATTGTTTTCTTTGATTATTGCGCATCAATTAGATAATATATACTCTTGTCTGGATATTCACTTCAAAAACTCTACCCTTACGGAAGCTATTCATTTCAATCATTACCTTCTGACTTTGTGAACGTTGCAGTTTTATATTTCTTCGAAAGTAACGGGCAAGAAAGATAAGCTGTGGATAAATCACTCATTTTTTAATTTGAATTTTGACTACTCTGCAATGTTCAAACCCCCTCTTTGTCTTCTAGTTTCAGCCCCGAATATAGTTGGTCAAGTGCCAAATTTTCAGAAAAAAAATTCGCTTTAACGTTTTTAATAACTCAGACAAAGCTTTTAGTTCAGAATGCAATTTCTTCTTTTCTGAATTTCTTAACCTAATTTTCTATTTTAAATTATGCATTGACTTCAACGGTTTCTTAGAGGACTCCTTTAAAAACTTTTAACTGATCTATTATATTCTGACTTTGTGAAAGTCGCAGTTTTATATTTCTTCGAAAGTAACGGGCGAGAAAAATAAGCTGTGGATCTTGGGAAAAACAAACAATTTTTGATGGCTTTATCAACTGGGGTTTTACGGAAAAACTCCTGCAATTCCTTTATTTTGTAGTTAAACTTATCTTACAAGAAAAACATAAAATTTCTACTTTAAGATAATTAGCATTTTGTGCAAAACAGAGGGGAGCATCAAAGTTATGTTCCTCTCGAAACTACTCAAAATAAGGTCACTAAGCCGATAAAACTATTTAACGCTTTTTACAAAAAAAAAACGTTTTTTACACGATTGCAATACCCTTGCTTATTGGGTACATGATTGTTTGAAGCTATTTTGCCTGCTCTTTTGTGTATTTCTTGGCAGGGTTGTACGGAAAAACTCCTGCAATTCATTTTTTTTTGCCTCTGATCCCTCTAAACCAAAACTTCTAGTTTTTTACTTAATATGTTTCTTACATGTGCTGCTTCAAACAGTTTTTGTTTTAGGTAATTAAAATTTTTTTAAATTGTCTAGACCAGGAAAACTGTCAACTACCAGGTGCATTCTTTTTTATTATTATGGCGATCCATTTTGATAATGTCAACTCTTGTCTGGCTATTCACTTAAAAAATCGGCCATAACGGAAGCTATTAACTTCAATCATTACCTTCTGACTTTGTGAAAGTTCCAGTTTTATATTTCTTCGAAAGTAACGGGCAGTAAAGATAAGCTATGGAAACATCGCAAAAATTTTATTTTGAAGTTTGACAACTCTGCAAGGTTCACACTCCCCATTATGTCTTCTAGTATCAGGCCTGAGGATAGTTGGTCAAGTGCCAAATTTTCAGAAAAAAAAATTCGCTTTAACGTTTTTAATAACTCAGACAAAGCTCTTAGTTCAGAATGCAATTTCTTCTTTTCTGAAATTTTTAATCTAAACTCTATTTTAATTTCTGCATTGATTTTAACAGTATCTTAGAGCGTTTCTTGAAAGTTTTTTTAGTTGATCTATTATATTGGGAAAACCAAACACGTTTTGATGGCATTATCAACTCTGCTGATAAAATCATTGCTGTGATCTTCTTCAACCAATAAAGAGGCCTTGAACTGAAGTCGATTCCCGATTGCCTATCAAAAAGTTTCTCCTAAAATCATTCAAAAAAAAACTGCAGTTGACTTTGCTACAATTTCTAAGATGAATCAAAATTCCGCGCCACTTGCAAATCCCATGAACACAGCCTAGCAAGCGGGCAGATGGGAAACAAAACGGTGGCTACTAAGTCCAAAAAAGAGAGAAAAAAACTACATTCAAATCTGCAAGATTTTGTCCAGAAAGATGTTTTTATTGCGGAAAACTTGTCCAATTACACAATCGACGGCGTTTAATGAAAATCTAACTGAGCCAACAACTCTTGGGCAAACTTTGTTGAACTGAAAACCAAAATTTTTACATGAAAAACGTTGTAACTAAATTTTCTACTTCAAGATGCTTAGCATTTTGTTTAAAACAGAGGGGAGCATCAAAGTTATGTTCCTCTCGAAAATACTCAAAATAAGGTCAATAAGCCGATAAAACTATCTAACTCTGCTTACAAGAAAAACGTTTTGTACACGATTCCAATACCCTTGCTGATTAGGTATATGGTGGTTTTAAGCTATTTTGCCTGCTCTTTTATGCATTTCTTGGCAGGGTTGTACGGAAAAACTCCTGCATTTCATCATTTCCTACATTTTTAATTTCTGCATTGATTTCAACGGTATCTTTGAGGATTCATTGAAAGTTTTTTTTAGCTGATCTTTATTACATTGGAAAAACCAAAGAAATTTCGATGGCATTATCAACTCTTCTGATCAAATCATCGCCGTGATCTTCTTGAACCATTAAGGAGGGCGTGGTTTGAGGCAGATTCTCGATTGCCTATCAAAAATTTTCTGCTAAAATCATTCAAAAGGAAAAGGAAAAAAAAGTGCAGTTGATTTTGCTACAATTTCCAAGATGAGTCAAAATTTCGCACCACTTGCAAAGCTCATGAACACAGCCTAGCAATCGGGCAGATGGGAAAGAAAACGGTAATCAATAAGTTCAAAAAAGAGAAAAAAAACTAAATTTAAAACTGCGAGATTTTGTCTAGAAAGATGTTTTAATTGCGGAAAACTTGTCCAAATACACAATTGACGGCGTTGAATGAAAATCCAACTGAGCCAACAACTCTTGGGCAAATTTCCGTAGAACTGAAAACCAAAATTTTACATGAAAAACGTTTAAATAAAACTTTTATTTCGAGATATTCAGCATTTTGTGCAAAACAGAGGGGAGCATCAAAATTATGTTCCTCTCGAAACTACTCAAAATAAGGTCACTAAGTAGATAAAACTATATAACGCTGTTTACGAGAAAAAAATTTGTACACGATTACAATACCCTTGCTTATTAGGTAGATGATTGTTTTCAGCTAATTTGCCTGCTCTTTTATGTGTTTCTTGGCAGGGTTGTACGGAAAAACTCCTGCATTTTATTTTTTGCCTCTGATCCCTCTAGGTAAATATTTCTAGTTTTATACTTTTTCGTTTTCTTACATTTGCTCCCTCAAACCATTTTTGTTTTCGGTAAATAAACGTTTTTTCAATTTTCCAGACGAGTAAAACTGTCAATTCCCAGGTCCTTTCTTTTCTTTGATTATTGCGATTCATTTTGATAATGTCAACTCTTGTCTAGCTATTCACTTTAAAAACTCTGCCATTACGGAAGCTATAAAATTCAATCATTACCTTCTGACTTTGTGAAAGTTGCAGTTTTATATTTCTTCGAAAGTAACGGGCAAGAAAGATAAGCTGTGGAAGCTGTGGACACGTCACTCATTTTTTATTTTGAAGTTTGACTACTCTGCAATGTTCAAACTCCCCCCTATCTTCTAGTTTCAGGCCTGAGGTTGATTGGTTAAGTGCCAAGTTTTCAAAAAAGTTTTTCGCTTTAACGTTTTTAATAACTCAGACAAAACACTTAGTTCACAATGCAATTTCTGCTTTTCTAAATTTCTTAATCTAATTTCTTATTTTAATTTCTGCATTGATTTTAACGGTATCTTAGAGGATTCCTTGAAGGTTTTGATGGCATTATCAACTCTACTGATGAAATCATCGCCGTGATCTTCTTCAACTATAAAGGAGGGCGTGGTCTGAGTTCGAGTCTCGATATCGGCGTTTGATAAAGGTAGCTAAGATTTGGAACAATTGTATCATCAAGATTTTGCCTGTAACTTTTTTCGCCTTTTTTACTGAGATCTTTTTAACTTCAGTTGCGTCCATTTTTGCTATCTGAAACTATTTAATGGGTTTATTACAAAAACTGAAGCTAATTGAAGTTACGTTTTCAACTAAACTTTTGTTTTTAATGCTAACAGAAACTTTTGTTTTTGATTTTTTCCTGCCGCGGACAATCGGTATGATTCGTCACTGCTCAATAAAGGCTTCCGCCGAGCTCGAGATAGGAATTCGGCCAAACATTGATATGTTTCGACCGAGCTTGCGAAATCTTTCGACAGTGCTTGTTCAAATTTGATGTTTCCGTCGTGCTCGAGGTATGTTTTGAGTTTGTGCTCGACCCAAAACCCAGTCTCAACTATTCTTTTCGGTCGCACACAGACATACCGACATTATGCTCGACTTTGAACATAACGTTAATTCTGTTTGATTCTATTGGAACGTTAACGGTGATTATGCAATAGTACAGTGGCTCTGAAAAGGCCACTCTAGTCGTCAAAGAAATTCTTGGGCGCCCGATCATTAGAACCAAAATAAAAACGTCTGCTAGAAAAAGCATTGAGAAAAATTATTTGCCTCGTCTAAAATAAAAACAACTTAGAAAACAAATAGCAAAGAGTTAATAAATAACAAACAGAGTCAAAAACTTCGAGGGCTGAAAGCGATAACACGGATTAAAACTTTTTGTACCTTGTAAAAAATAGATTGAAACGAACCTTGTTTGAACGCATTTGAAATATCCTTGCTACTCTTTTGAGGCAGTTCTTCCTCAGGCGCATCGTCTCTTAGAACTTCCAATTTTTTCATTCTTCGCGCTATTTTCGTCATTAACTGAAGTCCCATGTCAACATTTAAGGAATGAAGCGTCATCATTGCCAGTTCAACCAGAGCTAGCAGGGCAACACTTTTGTATGCTAGCATTCCATGCACCGAACCCAAATGCCATGTCAGATAATGCTTCAGAATATATTTCACGGCAAAGTACTCAGTAGACCGACGCCAAGGAGGCTCGCGATGGCTATTATGAACTGCTCTGTCGTGGATCTTAGCGTGAAATTGGATCTCAGGCATGGAGTTGTTTTCTGCGGCCAGAAAGGCTATAAGCCAGTTTGTCACGTAGTCCGGATCCTCGGCCTTAGCGGGTGAGGACTTATTTGCGTCAAATGTCTCATTACCTTTGGACACTCCCATCTCAACGATTCTTTCGATCGCAACGTCATGGAAGACCTAAATAAAACAATAGTTTTGAAAAAAATTGTCGCTGAACAGAAAAACGAGAATAGTGCAAATAGTACAGAAAAACGGAGCAAATAGTGTTGAACAGAAAAACAGCTGAGGTGCAAATAGTATATGGTGTTCCTCAATTATCACAGCAAAAGAACTCTTTTCTTAAATATTTTTTTACAAAAAATCAAACAAAAAATCAACATTGTTTTTACATTATTTTGCAGAATTTTATTGAATTTTTTTTTCTAAAAATGGCGCTGAACAACTACAAAAACAAACTTCACCCGAATAAACTATTTTTAAAGGCTTAAATTAGGCATTAAAAATTATTTTAAGCCAGCTCGCTCGCTTCATATACTCGAATTTAGACTAAGAATCAAAAACTTTATACCTGGTTTTCTCGATACTAGGACAACTTTTTGAACTTTTTAAAAAGTCGTTCGAATTACGACTGGAACGCTTTAATATGATATTACTTTAATATGACGCTCAGCCCACTCCTCGACTTTTGGTACATGATTTTGCGTGGAAGAAAAAAAAAGACACATCCGAACACAAAATTCCTCCCATTTTAATCGGTCGGAACAAAAATAAATTGTTTATACACTTAGGCGTTGAAATAAGTTCGTGCGTAGTGTGATTTAAAAAATTTCTGCGTGGTATGATAAAAGGATGTGAACAAAAAACTACAACTCAGAAATTTTGACAATCATGGTAAAATAGGCAAAATGAACAACCGCTTTGTAGAAAAAAGACAAAAAGAAACAGAAAATCAACACTGTTTTTACATTTTTTTGCAGAATTTTTTTGAGTCTTTTTATTCCCAATATAGCGCTGAACAACTGCAAAAACAAACTAGACTGGAGTAAACTACATTTAAAGGCTTAAATTAGGCTTAAAAAAAGTGTTATAAGCCAGCTCACTCGCTTCTGCTCATGCATGCAAAAATTTTCTGAAAGAGATCATTTGCTCTTTTAATTAATTTTGTCAGTTCCATTTTTTGCAATTCTCTTATACAGTGCTGATTTAAATTAACCGGACAAAACGCGTTAAATTTGAAATTTAAAACCCATTTTTCTCAAATTGGTTTGAGTTTAGATGAAAACTTATAAAGACAAATTTTGCTTAAAATTTTAGCAGAACTAATATGTTGTAATTTGTTTTGCCAAATTCGGGCCCGAAATTTTAACCCAAAAAGGGTGATTTTGGCTTTTCTTAGTTTATCAAAAATTACGCCGAAAATACCCAGTCGATCACAGACATAATTATATCAAAGTGAGCCCCTTATGTAGCCCAAAAAACTTTATGAAGGGTATATTCTCCAAAAAAATGCAATTGGTTTTTAAAACTTTTTAAATAAGAAATTGGTATTTTATATAATAAAAAAGACCTTTTTGTCTATCAAACAGTAATAAATTTACTTATACAATATTTTGGAGATTGTACCCTTCTTAAAGTTTGTTGGGCCACGTAAGGGCTCACTTTGATATAATTATGTCTGTGATCGACTGGGTATTTTCGGCGTAATTTTTGATTAACTAGGAAAAACCAAAAGACCTAAACTCAACCCAATTTGAAAAAAAAATCGTTTTAAATTTCAAGTTTAACGCGTTTTTTCCGGTTAATTTAAATCAGCACTGTATATCTTTTAACAAATTCATCGGACAACGTCTCAAATTTTAGAACTAATTCTGTCCTTGAGACAAAGATATATCGTGAAAACTGCAAGCGAACTTTCGAAACTGCATTTGGACTGAAAAAAGAGCAATGCGAAATGATTGCGTTTTTTCGGAGAAATCTACTTTTGCTTTATAATTTGCAGCAAAAAGTTCGGTTAGACAAAAAACAATGAAAAAGAGCAAATGGCCTTTTTCAGACATTTTTTATATGCAAAAACTAACTTTTCACTCAAAAATTATATCTCAATGTCACATAAAAATTTAATTTGCAGACAAAAAATGCTCAAACTTTGCAGATTACTCTTATAAAAAATATTTCTGGATGTCTGAACATTTGATAACTCTCCATATTTCAAGAGCACAATTTAAAAATTCGTTTCCTTCAATAACAATTTGTCATGCAAATTTTCAGAGAAAAAAAAACACAAAAAGCCGCAAAAATGGCAAACGCTAAGAGTCAAAGAAGTATTTCGATTTAGTTTAAATTTGGAGGTCAGAATTATTTCAGAACTTCAATAAGTTGTCCGATAATTTTATTAAAGGTTAACTTAAGGGCATTCATATTAGCATTTATAAGAATGGGTAGTACTATGATAGAGTGGTTCTTTGAAAATAATCAGGTACCTTGAGAATAAAACACCTAGAGCTCTTAAATTCTTCAATAATTGTGATATCGTCATTCAGAAAGTTGAGTTTTGATGACAAATACGATAACCCAATTATGTTTGTTAAACTGTAAAATAAACAGAAGCGAGCATATTTCTTGATAAAAGCAAGGAATTAGTTACAATTTTCAACCTGAAGAATTCTGACAGTAGTATTGTATCGTGTCCCGGATCCTAAGGGGGGTCCTTCCTAAGGGGGGGGGGGTCCTCACCTAAAGCAAAATCCTAGGAAAGGGGTCCTTAATTTTTTTGGAGGACCCCTATCCTAGGATTTTGTAAATGATCGCAAGTTCCCACCCCTAAAGTAAAAGACCCCCTCCTTAGGATCTTGTTAAGCTGAGCTCAACAACCGGGACGCGATACAATAATTCTTTCTAATTCCTTTTAAAGCAGTCCCTTTTCCCGCGATAATTAAAATTAATCGTCCTAATTCCTGAACTTTTCTTTTTCGTCCTAGTTTCATGTGGATATCATTTCCTGGCTTTCTTTCTTTTCGTCAAAGATTTGTCATGCTATTAAAGTTTGTTATTGAAAACAAGCCTAAGGATTTCACACATTTGTTTGAATTAACACTTGGTTTGCGTCTACTAGTTTATTTGCCTGAAGCTATTTATGTTAAAACAGTGATTGAGCTCAATACGAGTATTTTATTAGTTAAAAATTGGTAAAAACCAAAACAAATACAAGTCGAAGTATAAAAAGGACGAACAGTAAAAATCATCTGAAAATATATGTTTCAGACTTTAATGTTTATTGTTTTGGTTTTCTTTGCGCTGTTTTTTAGATGTTCGTTCTTCTGAAGCTTCAGATAAAATAAACGGGTTTTTTATAGGGGGACGTTCACGGACTCGGCTACTAGAAGCTTCTTCTTCTTCTTGCAGCTCTGCTTCTGAGTAGGGCCGCTGTAAAAATCCCCAATCCGGAAGTGTAAAATCGGGAGAACTGTTATCAGTTTCATTGTATGAGTTGGCCCACTCGGTGTCCATGTAAATGTCTTCTAGAAAAGCATTTTCTTCAGCGGCTTTATGGCCAAAGGGCACTGTCGAAATTCCGTCGAAAAGTAGAAAACGTTTTGAGTCGAATGGTGATAATGCAAGTTTGTTTTGTTTCACTGTCATATTGGTGTGACCTTTCGAAACTATATTGTAGTTGTACACTCTCATTGTTTTTCCAGTGAATAATGTGTCCCTGAAGGTTTGGTGGACCAGTTCTCTCTGTGCACTCCGTTTAATTCCTTTGGCACTCAATTTTTGAGTACCTTCTAAACAGAAGCAAAATTATTATTCTTTTCTACAACGTAGGGGATAGCTTCATTTCACTTCAGCAACTCAATTTATACCGAACAAAATTTGATTCATTTTACCAAAAAAGAGCAGAAGACTCTAAATTATGATTGAAAAAGAGGAAAAAAGAGGGAATATGTTGTCAGATAAATAAACGTTTAGGCAACATTGTATAATGTTGCCTTAATCAGCTAAATGCCCATTGTTTAATGCAACAAATTAAGGGGTGTAGGTAGGTTGGTGGTGGTAATTTTGTTCTGTAAAAGGTAGGAATGGGGGGGTGGAAGGGTGGCTTAAATTTTATTTACCATTAAGGACGACCGAATATAGTTTCGGTTTTAGGGCGATGAATTCTCTGATCGGCTTCCCACCAGTCTCGTCTTTGAACTTCAGCACAACTTTCTTGTTGGTATCCTCGTACAAGAAATGGTTCTTATCGTAATTTGAAAAGTCGAAATCAGCTTTTATTTTCTCCTAGTCTCGGTAAACGTCATCAGTTTTTAAAGCGTAAATTAAACTATCCGTGTCGGAGTAAAGGAGTTCCAAGTTTAGATTTGGTTTCATTTTTTGATAATGAAACTGAAACATGAAACGCTTGGCGAGGTCTAGGATGGTCGCACCAACTATCATAGGTTTATCCCACAATATTTTTGTTACTGAAAAGCTAATTGTGGCTAATTGATCGTCAATGATTTGACAGCTTTTCATTGTGCTCAGAGCTGTTTTTTGTAAAAGTTCTCTCTCATTCTTTACAATCTCCAGCTTCTTTCTTCCTAACTTAAACTCCATTGTCTTACCGAAATCTGAATTAACAATTAGCTTGTAGAAGTTCTCCTGGAATTTATTTACCGCGGCTTTTCGTAGGCGGGTGTTGAAGTCGACAAAGGGTGCCATCCAGTGACTTTGGCGGAACTGAAGAATTTTTCCGAGGTGAGTTATTTCCATTCCCAGCTCATGGTACAATTTTAGGGTAAGGTAGTGCAAAACATAACCTTCTTTAGGATGCAAGGTCTGTAGAAGCTTTGGAACTTTTGGCAGTGTGGTGATTCCCAATTTTCCCAACATGTCGACTTGCTCGTTGCTCATTGCACCGATGTCCACTACTTCACGAGAGGGGGCAAGGGGGTAATCAGCAAAGAAGTCGTGAAGCTCTTGGGGTATGGTTAAATTGACTTCAACTATATAACCCCACTCTGAGGTTTCGCTGGTGAGCAGTATGTCTGCCAGACTTTTTTCAACTATTGAAAAATCGTTTAATGGCAAAGGGCAGTGTTTCATTATCCCCCCGTACACATTGTTTGCATCAATATTGAGGATGAAGCTTGATGGTTCTGAGAGCGAAAAATCGTCGAGGTATTTATTGTTTGCTTTGT